CCATCGCGTCAGAACGTGTGTGTGTATGTGTATGATTGTGTGTGTGATTGTGTGTGTGATTGTGTGTGTATATGCGTCCGTGCCCGCGATAATCACGGTAATTGAGTCGAGTTATAGTACGGCACGAAACGTGCCGACACTGACTCCGAATTTTCCTCTATCACTTCGTCGAAGATTGAAGAGAAATAGAAAGAGATAAATAGAGAAAGAAAGAAAGAAAGAAAAAGAGAGTAAGAGTGAGAGAGAGAGAGAGAAAGAAAAAGTTTTATTTTGAGCGACTTTTCCATCAGCATCATTCATCGATTCACTATTCTAAAACTTTGTTAACGTTGAAATTATTGAAATCGTAACACAATATTGTTTCTCATCGTACGATTTAAAAATAATTTATACTCATTAATAATTTTTAATTATTAATAATTGAAGCTCTTTATAGATCTATTTTTATTTTTTCTATACACTTAAAAGAATATATTTATATAATGCACGAAAGTATATTTACAAAATATATTCATGTATCTTATTTTTTAAAAACAAAAAGAAAGAAAGAAAAAAAGAATGGGAGAGAAGAAAAAATATTTGAAAAGATTCTCTTTAAAAAAGCTTGTTATGTTACTTGTATTTTTAATTAGAACATAGATAACATTCTTTATTTGGAATAATCAATGTACTTCGTATATCATCACACTTAATTTCAACTTATATCTACTCGATTATTCAGAGTTCATTCTATAAAAAGTTATTTCATCTAAAATAACCTGGAAATACTTGGTTTACATACACACACAATCACGCACATACATATATACATAGAGGTACACGCGCATACAGAAAGAAAGCACATATGCAACCTATAAGTTACTGAAAATATCTAAGCTCGTACGAAGATTTTCACGTTTGTTCACGCGAACATATTAATTATTTACCATACGTATAGACACACATATCTAACCAAGAAACTAGAGAATAGAAAATAGTAAAAATATATTCTCAAATATGTACTTATACTATTTTCTATCCATTTGTTCTTCCTTCCTTACTTCCTTTTTCTTTTCTTTTCTTCCTTTTCTTTTGTTTATTTCTTCCTTTTTTTTTTCTTATTCTTTTTTGTTACAATATAGAAAACAAAGCAAACGAATCATTTCTCTATTTTTAACCTTCACCCTTTCCATTCGCGTAACTATCTTTGAAAGAGAGAATTAAAAAGAGATTACGATGACAGAGTCAATTCGATTAAAACAAAAGTGACTCTTGTAAGGCGGGCGTACAACTTCAAAAGCATTGTGTAAAAGCGAAGAAAAGTCGATAAACGTTAAGGGTAGTTCGCTCGAGAAGGTATCAAGGCGAATTCCAATTTTGAAATCGTCCGAGGTAATCCCAAAAGAGAAAAAGAGAGAGAGTGAGAGATAGTGAGAGATAGAGAGGAGAGAGAGAGAGAGACAGAGAGAGTGGGAGAGAGGGAGGGAGGGAGGGAGGGAGAGATAGAGATAGACGAGAAAAAGGAGAGAGTGGGGGTAGTACTGTCACCGCGCTATCGATCAGTCGGTTCTCTTCTCTACCTCTACAACTGGTGTGCGTGAATGAGGTAGCCATCAGCCATTTTGAAAAACGTTACCTTTTCTTCTTCCTATTTCTATCAAACTTTTATTCGCCATTTATTCGTTGAAAGAGAAAAAGGAAAGAGGGAGAGACAGAGAGAGAAAGGAAAAAAAAAAAAAAAAATAGAAAAAGAAAAAGGAAGTACAAGCACGATCATCCCCGCCCTCCTCCCCATCATCAAAAGTAACCTCTAAGTGATTTCAAAAATTCAATTACACTCATTATCCCGAAACATCTCGGGCTGATTTCTTTTTATTTCTCTGGTTACTCTTTATTTTCTTTTTTTTTTTTCTTTCTTCTTTTTCGGATCGTATCGACTACACAAGCCTATTATTATTATACAGGGGGGGAGAGGGAGAGGGCTGTAAAACCACAAGGGCCTAAAAAAGGAAGGTCTCGAAAAATAATAATTTCTTTGTATTTTTTTTTCTTCGATCTTTTTTTTTTCTTTTCTTTTTTTCTTTTGTACAACGTAAGATTAATTTTAATCCGTCCATCCCGTATAATAAAAATAGGTCAGGAAATTATATATATATATATATATATATATATGATCTTTGAGGATATCACTCGCTCAATATAGATATAGTTTGCTTTCGCCTAAGAATTTTCAATGAGTTGATCAAACAAAGCTATCTTTGCTAAGTTAAAAGAAATAACGAAGAGAAATCTGGTCACGAGAACTCTCTATGCTATGAACGAGCAAAGACCGTGCAATGACAGAAAGAGAGAGAGAGAGAGAGAGAGAGAGAGAGAGAGAGAGAGAGAGAGAGAGAGAGAGAGAGAGAGAGAGAGAGAGAGAGAGAGAGAGAGAGAGAGAGAGAGAGAGAGACAGAGAGAGAGAGAGATAAAGAGAGAAATACAGACAAATAGACAAAGAGAGAATGAATGAGAGAAAGACAGAGAGAGAGAGAGAGAGAGAGAGAGAAAGAGACCGCAAGGACGATCGCCGACTTGAATTTCCAACGAAGGATACGAAAAGCGTACAGAGCAAAGAAACGAGAGTAAGAAACAACTTGGAAAAAGAAAGTAGTAGGAGGAAAGAGAAGTAGGGTGAGGAAAACAGAACGGTTCTTTATCGTAACACGATCCTTTCGTCGTGAACGACCTACGTTAGGGAACAACCCACCGAGAGAGCTCGACCAGCCAGACCAAACAACCCAGACACGATATATAACGACTTTCCTCGGCAAATAAATCGATCCTCCACCTCCCATCGAAACTGGAGAAGCTTCCGTCGGAAAATACAATCTGTTCTTTTCAGCCTATTCCTCTCTCTCTCTCTCTCTCTCTCTCTCTCTCTCTCTCTCTCTCTCTCACAGTGTCTTTCTCTCTCTCTGTCTTTCTCTTCGTTGTCCAATGTCATTGATAATGACAATGATTAAGTAAAAGAACCTGCCGCGTATCCTTTCTTTATTCCACTTACTCAAATGTAAAGATAATGATTCTTTTTCTTCTTCGTCATTCAATAAAAATATTGGTTTTCATCGACGAAACATTATCAATTCCATTATAATTTCCTTCAATGATTCTTAATTCGAACTTTCATTAGTGTAATTGGATCTATAGAGATATTTTTAGGATCGTCCACGTAGTATACTCGTTATTATCGTAATTATTAATGTACGAAGTTGGGAATCACCAATTCATTATTGTTGTTTTTTTTCTTTTTTTATTTTTTTTTTTTTTTTTTTTTTTTCTACTGAATTCGATGTGTATTTTCTTATACCAACAATTATATACATAAATTATATATATATATATATATATAAATGTATACGAATGTTTACAAATGTATACAATATATATAAACGTTTATACAAATAAATATTTAAATTATAAATATATATATATATATATTAATATAAATAAATTTTTAATAAAAAAAAGAAAAAAACCATCTTAAAAATTGCGGACATTACAACGAGCAAAATTAATTTAATTCGATCATATGGTTTTGATTAGGACATTTTCTTTTTTTTTCCCGTACTATTAACTCCTTATCAAAAGTTTCCTTTCATAATCACTGAACGTAAACTCCTAAAATCATTTCAAACAAATAAATATACATACACTTTATGATCGTAAAATTTCAAGAATCTTCTAACTCGTAATATTATCCCATTAGATATCATACAGTTTATCAAGAACAAACAAATTAGATATTCCATACAGTAAACACGTATATGTATACGTACATCTCTCTTAATAATAAATTATTCAACTTCAACGTTATTCTCAGATATAAAGTTTATTAGTAATGAAACAATAAAAAAGAAGAAAAGGAAGAAGAAGAAAAAGTAGAAGGAAAAAAAAAAACAAGTCCCTCGTCGATAAGGAAAATCAAACGATAATCTCCTCCCGATGAAGTGGTTACCTCGTAATAAGCACGTGCCAAGCACAATAATATAAGAATCTCTATGTACGTACTATACATATGTATGTAAAGAGAATCGTTTCTATTTTCTATGCATGATCTAGTCTTTATACAAAGGTGATGCTATATATACGTGCACAGGCTTTCTGTCTCTTCGTCGCGAAACACTAATGCTGTTTTTCGAGTATGCTCAGCCTCCTGTTCGTGAACGGTGAAGGGTACCTGAGTCTCTCTCTCTCTCTCTCTCTTTCTTTTTTCTCTTTCCCTCTCTCTCCCTCTCTTTCACTCTTTATCTTTCTCTATCTTTCTTTTACCCCTTGCTCGTTCGTGTGTATGCATGCAAGCAAACAAGAGGGGAAAAAAGTAAAAGAGTGAGAGAGAGATGGAAGGAGCAAGGACAGAGGAGAGTATTACAACGAGCCACTCAGGAATCTCTTCGTTTCCCTAATAGGCAGCTGACTCCTTGACTCGACCGCGTTGTCTATTGGTCCGCGAACCGAAAGAAATTCTCCTTTGCTCGAAGAAAAGAGACATCTTGCTTCTTCCTCATGAAAAAACGTGAATTTCCTTTTTCTCTATCTAGTTCCGAAGGAATTTCTAATCTCTTTAACTTGCAACTAACATTTATATATGTACGTATGTTTCTACGTACGTAAGTAATTACTTAAATTAATCCACGATTGGACGTAGGTATTTATATATATACATATATATATATATAGGAAAGAAGAAAAAAATAAATAAAAAAGACAAAACGCAACAAGACAAGAGTCTTAATAATAAAACATTTCGAGGATATGGAATCCACTTTTTCCCTTCCTCCCACCCCTTCTCCTCCTTGTCTTATTAATATTTTCCACCAACTAAATTTCAAAAGATGAGCTTTAAACCAAAAGAAAATAGAAACAATAAAAAAAAGGAAGTATATAAAAATCGATAGTAGTATTCCGGTAGTAATAGTAGTAGTAGTAGTAGTAGTAGTAGTAGTAATAATAGTAATAGTAATAGTAGTATCTAAACGTACCATAAAGAAAACATGTCCTTCCACTGGAAAGTCGTCTCGCCGAAGTGTTCCCTCGGCCAAAGCTCTGTCTGAAAAATAATAACGCAAACGCGTTACAAGTAGCTCGTAAAAGTATGCTACGTTATATATATATATATATATATATATATATATATACACGCGCGAGCGCGTGCATAAACACATACGAAGAAAAAAAAATGCAGATACATACGCATACACGCAGGTTTGTCGTTTTACAAAATTTTCTCCTCGGAAAATTCCATAATTCGGTTTACGTGCTGTGACGCATAAAATATGCATCACGTTATTACGTATAATTTCGTAAAGGTAGTTAGTAGTCGTACGTTCTCATAAAGAGAGAAAAAGAGAGAGAGAGAGAGAGAGAGAGAGAGAGAGAGAGAGAGAGACAAAAGAGAGAGACAGAAAGAGACAAAAGAGAGAGAAAAAGAGAGAGAGGAGACAGAAAAAATGCAAGTATGAGATTTACGACGGAATAGACAAAAAAGAGATGGATAGAGATAGATAGATAGATAGATAGATAGATAGATGTATAGATAGATAGATAGATAGATAGATAGATAGATAGATAGATAGATAGATAGATAGATAGATAGAGAGAGAGAGAGATAGTTATGAAACGACACAAGTACGAGACGACTGTTTCTAAGCTTTGTATGCCCCATCATAGAAATGACTGAAGAACGAAGAGGATTACTTTGGGATATGAGCAAATGCATTTATGCACACGCTAACAGCACCTCAGGTATAAGAAGATCCTGAGAAACGAAGAAGAGGATAAACTCTAAAAGACCCCCGGAGCGGTCGAAAAGACGTTTGTATAATATTTACACGGCACTTCGCTACGGAGATTCTCTTTCGAAGAATTTGCTATCCAATCGGATTATGATGACTCGCTTAAATAACGTGAGTGGTATACATATATACATATATATATATATATATATATACGATCGATAGTTTCTCCAATGTATTTTATTTCAATTTAATTTTTTACAACGATATCTCTCTATAAATATTAATTAATTCGATCCTTTATGATTAGAGATTTAGAAGCATATCGAGAAACATTGCTCTCGGAAATATCTCCAAAAAAAAAAAATTTTTTTTTTTCAATACTTCAAATTTTTTAATCTCTAATTAAGAGAGAAAGAGAGTGAGAGAGAGAGAAATACTCGAAGTATCAATATGACAAAAAAAAAAAAAAAAGAAAATTGTGAATCGCGTTAAATATTTAAATACTTGGAATAATTTATGTATTCGTTCAGAAGAGCTGGGAGGGGGGAGGAGGGTGAAGAGTTTTATATTTCTCGAGAATTCTTCTTGAATTGAATAAAAAATTTTTAATTTAAATAAAGATCTCAAGAGAATTTATCTCAAATCCATTCTCTAATAATATAATAATATTACTTATTACTCTCTAAGATATATCTCGTTTTGAATATTCATAAATAAATTCAATCATTAGAGTTATGTTAATTATTTCAACGGCAATTATATATATATATATATATCGATATGTTTCGTAAAAAAATTATCGTTTTCGAAAGTGGATCCTCCCCGCCCTATAAGTCATAAAAGTTTGATAAAATCCAATCTTATTGATTAAGGGATTTAACTTGACCGTAAGACTGACCAATCAAATCAAACCAAACTACTATCGTAATCTCACCCCCCCTCCCCCTTACCACTATTATTACAAAGCTCGTACATAGTACATAGGATATAGGATAGGTAGATAGGTGGTAGATATGTACAATATGATAATAAGCTATCTCTCAGCATCTAGAGAATACTACGTATTCGCTTATTCTCTCCGATGGAGACGGACAAAGCAATTTATCCGATGGTCTATGCCGTAATTACACACCGAATTAACGACGTGGTTGCACAACGAATTAGAAGCAGGTACGCTATGGTTTCGCATTCGCAAACGTTCTGCAGGGCCCCTGTTTGCCCCTGGATTTCATTAGGACGCCCGTAAACATACACGCTAGACTGTAAACACTGTGTTGTTAGAATCGGACAGGGTCTCTCTCTCACTCTCACTCTTCCTCTCCCTGTGTGTCTCGTTTGGTATCTCCTACGTAACTTGGCTGTAACTTCGACCAAACAGAAACTTTATGTGTTGAAAGAGAGAGGTAGAGGGGGGGGGAGATACATATTGGAAATCATTCCGATCAGATATAGATCTAGTACATTAACGTATTCGATACTAATTCAAAATTGTTATATCCGATATCTAACTTACGGTGTATAAAATTGAGTGCCCTTAGAAACAATAGACCGAGTCCATAGAATAGAAATAGAGAGAGAGAGAGAGAGAAATAGAAAGAGGGAAAGAGAAAAAGATGATGAACGAGCAGGGTCGATCTCTTAAACGGTGAGCTTACGATGTGATCGTATCGACGAGCATAAATAAGCTCGTTCGGCTCGTTTCATAGACGGCTGAGCCGACGATGTATAACGAGAGGCGTCGGCTCGACGAAAGCCGTCTTTTTTTTCCTTTCTCTCTGACGTAATCGACGAAGATCATCACCATCACCACCA